TTAGAGCCTGTGTTAATGTATATAAAATAGATATAAAACCCTGTGGATATAAAAGAGAGATATTTTCTCTGGTCCCAAATTAGAGCCTGTGTTAAATATATAAAATAGACCAAACCCGGATATAAGAGATTTTCTCTGGTCCCAAATTAGAGCCTGTGTTAATGTATATAAAATAGACCAAACCCGGATATAAGAGACTTCTTCTCCGGTCCCGACAACTCTCTTATATCCGGGTTACACTGTATATATAAATTTAATAGCATCATCTACATGCAAAAAAGTCTCTCTCACACACACACACATATATATATATATATATATATATATATATATATATAAAATCAGACTTAGTAGTCGCCCGTTGACGAGGCAAAGGAAATATGTTTTTTATCAACACAGGACTGTGTGGATGTTTTAGTTGCTGGCGTAAATAGGAGGAGGAGGAAGGTATGAATGATTCTTGCTATCCACTGGAAAGGGTGGTCCTCGACGAAAAAGGACAAATAATTATGACATTCTATACGTACCAATATCCGTGCAGAAAAAAAAAAAAGCGCGCACGCCAAAAAAACCGAAAAAAAAACTGTACCAATAAAAATATCAACCGAATATATATATATATATATATATATATATATATATATATTAAAAATATGATTCCAAATCGTTACATAAGAAGTCTCATGTTTCAAAACAAGAGCCGAAAACTTCAATATAATTATTTAAATTAAATTGAGCTAAAATAAGCTCTGTTCCATCTTCAAGCGAAATTTTTTTTTGGAATAACGTATATCTGAAATTTACGTGTTTTAAAAATTGAAATCAAAATTTCCATTGTAACAGCTAGGGCGAATTGTTTAAATTGGGTAGGCGAGGGTTGGGTGTTAATAAGTATCAGTATAGAGTTACTTTCATAGATGTCAAGTCAGAGTAAGGTAGGGGTGTCTAAATTTTGAACGGAAGTTGTATTAACCCTCGTCTAGTTTGCCTGTCTATGGAGATTTATTAATTTTTTTTATTTTATTTTTTTATGAAAGGGATTTGTGCATATAAAAAAAACAAAAAAACAGTCGTAACGTTTGTTTTTTGACGACTTCATAAAGGGTTATCTTTTTTGTAGGGTATTTAAACTATTTATTTGGGCTATGGATTATGAAGGGTGTTATATTGTATGCATGTTTTTAGTTAATTATTCAAACCATGAATTTGATGAGTGGGCTATGGATTAAACAAGTTATTATATTTTATGCTTTGTTTTTTTTTTTTTTGTTTTTTTTTTTTTTTAGCTAATAATTCAAACCAAAAATCTGATGTCTACAAAAAACCGTTAACTCGTGTCTATTGTTTAATAGATTATTATTATTTTGAAGCTTAATGATGTGCAATTTTTCATGGAGGCACAAAGGGCATGGGTCATCCCAAGTTTTACATGTTCTAGCCTTGTTTATAATTTTCCATTTAACTTTAGGTGTCCTATTTGTTTCCTTCAGATGCCAGAAATATTTAGATAGGGAAGTCTGATTTCCTTTGTTTATATTATTGAAGAAGCACTTATGCTGCCTCCATCTATCTTTAAAATCATTCTTCGTGGACCCAATGTATATCATATTAGTGCTAGGACTCTCAGTGGATGATATAGTACATTGGTATACCACAGATTTAATGCAGCATTTATTTTCTAATGGGCGGTCTTCTAGGTTTCTACAGTTACATAATTTTTCCCTTTTATTGTCTGATTTAAGTGCAGGGTTTTTATTAATACTGTTTAGGCATGGGGGTTTGTTCAAGATCTTATTATTGTGTTTTTTATTATACGTTCAAGATTTTCAGAGCAGCTGTAACTCAATTTTAGGGTGATCTTATTGAATATATTACTAAGCTTACTATTGGTGGGGAAGTGTTTATCAATTAGAGCTAAGAATTTCTGTCCTAGTTTAATACTAACCATTTGGTTGAACGGAGGGGTGTACCAAATGATTTTTCTTTTCCTGTTCTTTTTCCCATTGCCAGTGCAATTTTCTCTATAGTTAATGTTAGCATTTTTATAACCACTATTTTTTAGGGCAGTGTTATAGAAGCCATTGTGTTGTTGGAATATTTTAGCTCAATTTAATTTAAATAATTATATTGAAGTTTTCGGCTCTTGTTTTGAAACATGAGACTTCTTATGTAGCGATTTGGAATCATATTTTTAAATAAATAATTTATGCTCTACTTTTGTATCGAGCACTATTTTTTTTTTTTTTAAAATAACTAAAATACTAAGGGACTTTGGATTATTTACCTAACCAGTTTCTTCCTATTTTCTATAAATTTTCACATATTATTATTATTATTATTATTATATATATATATATATATATATGTGTGTATATGTGTGTGTGTGTGTCCATAAAGTTCGTGTCCTCTTTAAAAAATTATAACTTTATTTGTATTTGCGATAGAAATAATTTGTAAAAACGATTAGAAAGTAAATCTATATTTTTAAGGTTTTATTGAAATTTTATTTAAGCTTCCACATGTCCTATGGATGCAACGTTTTCGTCGCTGATACATGGCCTTCCAGACCGTGGCTTATCATGGACGGAGCCTGTCTCTTTAAATTTTTCCATCCATTTAACAATATTGTTCCTATGAGGTGGTTCTTTATTGTATTCAATTCTAATCTTTCTTTGTACAGCAATAGTAGATTTCAGTTCAGCCAATCAAAGGACACAGTTTACTTTTTTCCTCAGTTGAAGCCATGGATCAAATTGATTTTTGAAGAAAGAGAATATTTTTTTTACTTATCTAAAAATTGTTGCAAATTTTGTGCTAAAGAATTATTCAATAACTATACTTAAAACTAGGTACATTAAACTTTATAATAATTTTTTTTTTTTTACGGATTATTTCTATCGCAAATACAAATAGTCATAATTTTTTAAAGTACACACGAACTTTATGGACACCCTGTATATGGAAAGACTGAGCCCGGGAGAATGTAAAATATCTGTATACTTCCAAAGGTGAAGGTATGTTTAAAATTGTGGGTGAAAGAAACAGTTTATGTTTTAGTTTCAACGCAGAGTCTAAGGTCGCCGCCATTAGGTGGCGCATCTTTCGTATTTCGGATCTGGGTAAGTTGCGAATACCACAGTATTAGAGAACGGATAAAATTAATTCATCGATTCTGACTCAGATTGATTTCTTATCTTTTTATGTGAATATCTAGAGATTTTTCGAAAGTTCCGCTTCGGTTCTCATTGGCTTAGATTCTAGTTACGATCAACCCTTGTTTCTTTCTGATTCAATCCCCAGACAATCATGGGTGTATCTTGATCGGGACGCTTTCTGATTGGTTCGTTCAAATATGACTTCTGAATATACATCTTTTTTAGAGATGGTCTTATTTGTTTATTTGATTTGATTTTTTTTTTTCACGTGTAAATATGTTGTTGTGTATGTGTGTATACGCATGTGTTTTTGAACATAGAAATATAGGTCCTTGCTTGATTAGATAATCGTTATGTTTGTTTTGTTTTTTTATGTTTATATTTGATTTGCAACCTGTAGTTATTACTTTTGTCAAATTTTCTCAATTACAAAGCGGCCCTTTTATAAATGCCTTTCGGTTTTAGTTCCCCCCACCCATCTCTCTCCCACAACCCTTTTTCTTTTCTTTTCCTCTCCCTCTCTCATCTTCTGATCTTTAAGATTAGATCGTCTATTGTGTGTGTATCTCACCACAAAATGTATCTTTTCCGGTATATCTTTAATGTAGACATCCGAGAATATTCATATTTCTCTCTCTTTAAAACTTCTCTCTGTTAAATTTTAATCCCCACTTCATCTTTAGACCTTCCTGTACATATCTCGTCTGTTACCCCTCCCTATAGCTTTCATTTATTCTAACATTCGTCCCAAACTCTCATACATACACTCACTAAATTTTATTTTTTTTTTTATTTCCGGAGTTGTTTTTTCTGTTTTCTTTTTGAATTTGTAGGTTTGATGAATTGGATCGTATTTACGATTCCAATGGAATAAATTAAGACCATAGAATATTAGTGTTTAAGCCTTTTTATTATATTCTTTCTCTGTCCTGGACATTGAGTTCTACCTGGATTCTATCCTCTTGGATTTATTTTTATACAAAAATATATATATATATATATATATATATATATATATATATATATATATATATATATATATATGTGTGTGTGTGGACTCTAAAATTCAAGCTAACACGCTACCCAGGTTTCGACCTTTAGGTCTCTCCAGGCGTGTCAAAACCTGGGTAGCGTGGTACCTTGAATTTTGGTCTTCTTAATTAAATTTTGATCTACAACCCATATTTTCCGGATTTTGTATTGCGCGCTTTTTTTGGATTGCATCTTATTAAACGCGGCTATTTACAACCTCATTTTTATAATATAATATTTTATAATATATATATATGAAATGGACAATTATTTTTTAAGATATTTTTTTATGTTTATACGTTCTTTTTATACATACAAATGCGGTGGACGCATATTTTCTATGAAAATTTCTGGGACATTCAGGCCGGTAAATGTTGTTAATACTGTTTTATTATAAACAGAGCATTTACTTAAATATTTGTATCTATAAAAAGAACGTATAAGCATAAAAAATGTTTTAAAATATATAATTTTCTCCAACAAAGCAGGTTAAAAGAAAAGGATAGGAACTCTTTTTCTTTCTAACCGCAAGATACCAGAGTGTCAAATTAAAAAAAAAAAAAATTCCCAACCGAGTCATGTGTTTCATGCAACACAATATGTCACGGCCCTGTCTCCTTTTCCAAGAAAACATAATACAACAATAATAAAATTGTTCACTACAGGAAGTGCTGCCATTAACTGATAACTCCTTAAACGAAATGGTAACCTAATACCTTTTCTAAATTTTTCAACGAAACATTATCAGTGACTTTCTCACTCACAGTAGAATATTAGTAGTTTGTTGAAAATGGGGTTGTCTCTCTTACTTAGCTGTTTCATTTACTTCTTCGTATCTATCTATATCTCATGGCTATCACTTCCAGCCTCTGCCCATGGCTATCACTTCCAGCCTCTGCCCATGGCTATCACTTCCAGCCTCTGCCCATGGCTATCACTTCCAGCCTCTGCCCATGGCTATCACTTCCAGCCTCTGCCCATGGTTATCACTTCCAGCCTCTGCCCATGGCTATCACTTCCAGCCTCTGCCCATGGCTATCACTTCCAGCCTCTGCCCATGGCTATCACTTCCAGCCTCTGCCCATGGCTATCACTTCCAGCCTCTGCCCATGGCTATCACTTCCAGCCTCTGCCCATGGCTATCACTTCCAGCCTCTGCCCATGGCTATCACTTCCAGCCTCTGCCCATGGCTATCACTTCCAGCCTCTGCCCATGGCTATCACTTCCAGCCTCTGCCCATGGCTATCACTTCCAGCCTCTGCCCATGGCTATCACTTCCAGCCTCTGCCCATGGCTATCACTTCCAGCCTCTGCCCATGGCTATCACTTCCAGCCTCTGCCCATGGCTATCACTTCCAGCCTCTGCCCATGGCTATCACCAGGTCATTTGAATCCGCTACCTTGGTTTCGACCTTACGCTATCCTCAGGCGATTTTTATTAAAAGTCCTCATAACCTTTTTTTTTTTTCTTTCTTTGAAATCTATTTACGCTATATTATTTTCAAAAATAAACAAACGCACGACGTTGGGTGTGATACAAAGGAAGGAACAGAAGACGTTGAGAGAGAAGGCAAGGTATTATAAATTTATTGGTGTGGGGTTGATTGAAATGTATATTCTCATATGTGCTTAAGAGAAACTTTCTAATATGTGAGCAAGGACATTAGACTTCGGATTTCTGGTTTAAAAAGTTCTTTGGAACCGGAAATCTGTCTATATTTCTGAGATGAGATTATGTACACTATTTACATTATTCGGACTATTGTCCTCATTTTTGTCGGCATATTTATTACAACGTTTCGGCCGTTGTACGCTCCGGCCTTCTTCAGGTGGTTGGAATGTCGAACTGAACCCTTTATTTTGCTCGCTGGGGTAGACTGTTCTAGTACCCGAGTAAGACCCCCCCCCAGTACCCGAGTAAGACCCCTCCCTATAGAGGAGAATATAATTAAAGACTGTGTGTACTCTATCCCATGCAGCTGCGGAAAGAAATATAAAGGGGAGACAGGCCGCCCCTTAAGGTAAAGCTTCAAGAGCACCAGAAAGCTGTAACACGAGGGGAAGTGGAAAAATTAGGCGTGGCTGACCACATATGGAGAGAAAAGGGAAATCACTGCCCTCTGCGGGATCAGGTTGAAATCATAAACATAGAACATCATTAGAAAATTCGTAAACTTAAGGAATCAGCACGTATGCTAGGCCACAAAAATCTCCTGAGCCGACCAAGCATAGAAATGAATACAATATGGGAACCAGTAAGGAGTGCCAGAGAAAAGCGATCATAACAATAAAAATTGCAATATGAGCTCTGGTAAAAACGTGAAATAAAAACAAAAATTGCAATATGAGCACTGGTAAAAAAAATAATTGCTGAAGACATTAGGTTTATAATGCTTAGAAATTCATACGCAGAAGTCCTCAAAGGCACATGGCACAGTGGATAAAGACGTTGGTGAGATCCAGTGACAGGAATGTGAGTTCAATACCTGGTTAAGGCAGTGGAGAATTTTCAGAGGGGAATTAACAGGAGATATGGCACGTGGAACTAGAAACAGACTACCCAAGCGAGCGAAATAAAGGGTTCAGTTCGACATTCCAACCACCTGAAGAAGGCCGGAGAGTACAACGACCGAAACGTTGTGATAAATATGACGACAGATGAGTCCGAATAATGTAAATAGGATCCGGGAATATTGTCATTGTTAATTTCTCCTGTTGTCATAGGTTACAAATATTGTTGTGGTCGTTGTAAAGCTTTGCCTTTTAAAAAATATTCCACCTTACAATCGGATTGCTGTTTTTTTTTTTCTTTTAATTTGCACACATGGTTATCTAGTTTCGTAGTACCTAAGATTTGCTAGTTTAAATGATGACATATGATTGTACCATCTACGTTTGAAAGTACCTTCCGTACATCTTCTGCACGTTTTATTTTGACCATTAATATCTAATTATATATGGTGTTCCAATCACTTGGACCGATTTTAAATGTGAATTAAGTTCACGCGTCCAATGATTTTTTTTTTCTTTTTCTTTCAAATTTAATAACTTAAGTCTTTGGTAATTTCAGACAACGTACGAAAATGGACGTTCAAACAGAAATGCAGTTCGCGCACATAGCGATTTTTTGGTCAACATAATCGACCAACCGAGAGTGCAATTGGAAAATTGTTCGTAAATTCAAACAAACAGGGTCGGTGGCAGATGTGAAAACACCATTGCGTGCTCGTTTACGCCGTTCAGCTGAAAACTTTGCTGCAGTGCACAAGAATGTGGCCGTAAATCCAGACCCCCTCTATTCGTCATCATACGCAGGAATTGAACCTCTCCACAACAAACAAGTTTATATCAAACTTTGACAACAGATTTGTCTCTACACGTCCGCAAAATTCAAATGACACAAGAACTGAAACCTGCTGACCATTTGGAACGCCGTACATTCGTCAACTGGGTGCACGAGCAAATACAAGCTGATGCAGATATATAAAACCAATCAAAATACAAGTATGTTACACTGTCCCCCTAGCGAGAGATGTTCGATTGATTTGAATCTTTAAGAACCCTTTATTATCTATCTATCTATATATATATATATATATATATATATATATATATATATATAGGTTCAAATCAATCGAACATCTCTCGCTAGGAGAAAGGTGTTGCATACTTGTATTTTGATTGGTTATTCCAGCTTATATAACAGCATTTTCCTTAGCGAGAGATGTTTGATTTGAACCTTTTAAAATCCTTTATTCAACGCCATCACTTGATAAGACACCAGTAGTGTTGAAACAAAATCGCTATTTTTGTAGTGATTTTATAACAAATTTGTTATAATTTTCGAATAAATAATTATATATATATCTGTGCACACACACACACACACACACATATATATATATATATATATATATATATATATATATATATATATATATTCAGTTGTATATATATATTATTTTGTGACCCTGAGTTTAATGCTATTTTAAAAAATCAACTTGTCTGATCATCGCAAAAGCCTAAAACCCAACTGAATGTTATCTCTATCACAGATACTGAGCATTTCTGTATGTATGTATGTGTATATATATATATATATATATATATATATATATATATATATATATATATGTGTGTGTGTTCAACTATAAACACTTTCAAAAAACATTAAAAATATGTAAAAGTAAAAATATATAATGAATGTCTATATTAAAAAAATCAATATGTAATAGCACACAATACGTGATATATAGTAAATAAATGAATATATTAATAAGCAAATTCATAAATAAATAAACCCTACATTAAAAAGCAAACTGGGATATTATTGAAAAATTTATCTTGGTCTACGTGCTTAAGTAGATATAGGCCTACATGTGAGCATCAGTTGTTTTCTCTTATTTAGTAAGTACAGGTTATTTAAATGTTGTAAGATAATTATTTTCTCAACTAAACACAGGTTGCATTTATTCCCTTTGCCATTAAACGGTTTAGCCCTTGCCATTATTCATTAACGTTTTTCAATTGCCAGAGATATTTCGAGAGGGCAGTGCTGTTTCTGTATTTAATATTAGCCAAAGCCATACGACAATTATAGAAGTGAATGTTTCCAAATAGTCTCAGTAGAACCAAAGTAAAATTTAAGATCGTACGGTGTGGGATAATATATTATTATTGACTTAGTCTATTTATTTATTTATTTTTTTTTTGTTTGGATTTGTTGCGGGCCGATGTATGCGGTTCTCAAATTGTTTTGGGCATTAGTAATGTCACTGCTTGAAATTGAGAATAACACGCTGTTTCCTGAAATATCCACAACAGACATGGCGAACTCTGGATATGAGTCTGTAGAGGACCGGTTGGTCGGGTGAAGATGAAAAGAAAACATGTGCATTTATATTTCCTGCTAGAAGGTCCAACTACAAGAAAAATGTCGGGCTCTAGTTGTGTCCAGCCGAAGATGAAGAAGACAAGACACACACACACACACACACACACACACACACACACATATATATATATATATATATATATATATATATATATATATATATATATATATAAAACAAAACAATTACAAAGCACATAGACAGTTAACATTGAGTTTGTGTGTGAACATTTGTATTTGTTCTTTAGTGAATGTTCGTATTTTGGTGAATGTTTGTAATGTTCATAGCGTCTTCCCAAAAATGGGAAACGCTGTCATTTGTGAGAGCTCACATAGTAGCGGTATTCGCTGAAATGAAGAACGAAAAGAAAGAATTACCTCACCTCCACGCGAGATGGGATGCGACACGAGGCCTGAGGGGGGGGAAAGGGTCAAAGCAAGAAGTCACTTAGTATTTATAGTATGGGTAGAGAGACTCCTGGTGACAATTTTGGAATTAAGGAGGAGGTAACTCCGACAAGTTCACGTAACGAAATAGATAGAAAGGGCAAGAACCAATATATATGTACAAACAAATAATAATGTATTAATAACAAAGGTATACAAGCGACAAAGACAATGATGTGTGTAAGAAAATGTCAAAACCTTTTTGAACCAAAGTATTTGTAGTGAGTGAATGTGCATACATACGTGTGTGTGTGTATTGTTCGCGCGTTTCCCGCTATAGGTTACATGTTGACGAATAAGCGGATAAGGTAAGAAGATACAGTGTTGAGAGCGTCCCCTAGTAACGGTTTCAAAAATTAGGAGGGGTTACCCCAACAAATTAATTCATTTTACTTGTTTTTGCTTATTTAATTTTAATTTTCATTTATTCTTGTTCGTTTTCACTTTGCAATTTTGAAGTAACGGAGTAAAAATTTGTTTTCATGGCCGTTTGAGATGAGTTCTGATCGTTTATTTAGTAATTTGTTTTGGTCTCGGGAGGTAATTAGAGCTATTTTTCTTTTATAGCGATCATCACCACACACACATACATACCTACACAAATTCAAATTTCAATAACAATCATTCATTGGATAGAAATCAACGCTGCTGTCTTATACGACAATTTTGAAATCGCTATATTTTCGTATAGTAGATTTTGTGCAGTTTTGGGAGAATCGGCTCCTAGAAATCTCCCCAAAGCTCATTCACTGATTGGTCAGTATCGACCAATCGGATTCTCCGTACGTGAAGTGATTCTTCTCGCGCAGCACTCCTGATCCAATGATCACCTATAAAAGCAAGAGAAAAGAGGAGACGCACCAGTGAGACTTTAGCTGCCACAGAAATCCACAACAGTTGAAGCTATGCGCCAATCTTCTCACTCAACTCACAAACTGCATATTCCTTTACACTTACATATTTCCCTCTTGCACAGCAAAACCTTTAAAAAACATTTATAACAAACTATTAACTATTTTCAGAGAACTTTGATACTCGGAGACAACTCTCGCC